CCCAGCCCCCCGGACCCCCAGCCCTGGCTGAAGGCTCCTCTGAGCGGGGACTACCTGTACATCTTCGAGGGGTCAGGGCAGGATTTCCTCAGGGACCCCCTGAACGGCACCTCCTGCCCCGGCAGCAGGGGCAGCTCCCCCCAGAAGCTGTCGCCGCCGCCGCTGCCCCCTCGCCTGCCTCTCTGGAGATCCCTCTTTTTCTGCTTGCTAATGATATTGCATCGACTGCCTCTCTGGAGCTCCCCCGAGGGCACCCAGCGCTCAGGGAAAGGCTCCCCCCCATCCTCCAAGGGTCCCCAGCCCAGGGACATCAACATGTTCTCCACGACCCACGAGCTGACTCACGGCAAGCTGCTGGGGCGCCGCATCTCCCAGGAGGATCCCTACGGCATCGATGCCATCACCTGCCTCAACCTGAAGTCGACCTACGAGTCGGAGGTGCTGAGGGAAACTTCCCGAGGCTGGAAGGAAGGCAGGAGCATCTTTGAGAAGGAGTCAAGTGGCAAACCAGTGGCACGAAGCAAGACCATGCCCCCCCAGGTGCCCCCGCGGACGTACGGCGGCAGCAGGAAGAACTTGGTGCTCAACAAGAACCGCAGGATCTCCATCGATCCGGTGAGAGGATTCTCCTCCCCTGCCTTGGAAATGGGGCTGGAAACCCAGTGCTGGGTGTGAATGGTGCCTGTGGCTTTGCTGTGTGCTTCACTCCAAGTGGGATTTACTTGTCCCGTCGTTGGGGCTTATCAGGGTGTTGTTTATGTCATGGTTGGAGGTATCTGGGCACATTGGGCACATTGTCCCAGGGTTAATCACTACTTTCCAGGAGTGTGGGGCTCCCACATTCCCTGTCCCCACTGTGGACACATTGTCCCAGGGTTAATCCCCCCTTTCCAGGGGTGTGGGGCTCCCACATTCCCACTGGGTTGCCCATGACTCTGGCACAGCTCATCCCACCTCCTGCAAGAGAAGGAGAAAAATGACAGGAAAAGTCACCTTCCTGAGGGATCCTTGTTCCCAGGGAGTGAGGGACACAGCAGGGGCTCCATAAGTCACTCTTGGCTTTCTCACTGCCACAACCTAATTATCAAAGAGCATTAAATTAGCGGCTGCAGCATTCCCCACCTCCCTGTGCCTCCCTGGAGCTGCTGCCTGGGTTAATTGCTCCCACAGTGAGGCCTTTGTTTGCTGCCAGAGAGTGATGGGGCCCTGGGGACCCCCATGCTGGGGGGAGCTTGGCACAGAGGTGCCACCTGCCCTGGTACCACAGTGGGAGAGCAATCTGCAGGGCATGGGCAGAGGTTCACTGCAGCATCCTGATGGCCTGGGAACAGTCCCTGCCCATCCTGCAGCTCCCTGGGCAATATCAGTTTTGTGTCTGTCCCTTCTCCCAGCCATGGGAAAGGTGCCAGTAATGCATCTTGTGGTTGGTGCCCACCTGGCCCAACCACCCTGTGCATGCCCATGTCCCTCTGTGCTGCTGCAGAGCCACTTTGCCCCAGCACAGTGACCCTGTGGGGAGCACAGGCTCTAACAGGGGGATGTGGTGAGCCCCATCCTGGGTGGGCAGTGGGCTGGAGCCCCCAGGGCTGTGGTAGGCAGCTGTGCTGTGCCCCACAGGTTGCCCCTCGGCCACATTCCTTCTCCAATGGCTATGAGCTCTTCGAAGTCTCCGAGGAGCGCGATGAGGAGGTGGCTGCTTTCTGCCACATGTTGGATGTGTGAGTACCTGGCTGGGGCAGGAGCATCCCCCTGCAAAATGCCCCAAAATAGGCATTTTTGGAGAGTGGGGCAAGCCCTAAATCCAGGCAGCATCTCTGACCTGTCCCTCCCTGTGCAGGCTGCGATCCAGCTACAGCACCAAGGACTATTCCCTGACGGGTTTGGTGTGGAATGCTGTCAACCTGAGCCCTGAGCAGCTGGGCCATGGGGTGAGCCTGAAGGTGACAGTGGTGTGTGACAGCCTGAGGGAGCCTCTCACCTTCACCTGCGACTGTAAGTGTCCTGTGTCACGCAGCCACACGTGAACCCCCTTGCAGTGACCCCCCAGAGACCCCCAGGGGAAGGCTGGGGGTGTCCCACCCTCCCTGGGGCTCATGGCACTGCTCCTTCTCCCCACAGGCTCCTCCACTGTGGACCTGCTCATCTACCAGGCTCTGTGCTACACACATGATGAGCTGCACACCATCGACGTCGAGGACTTTGTGCTCAAGATCTGTGGCCTGGAGGAATTCCTGCAGAAGTGAGTGTCCAGGGAAGGGAGAAAAACCCAGTCCAGGCACCCCAGGGTGGGAGCATGGCCTTAGCTGGGTGTGATGGAAGTCCAGGGCTCACAGCAGGAGCTTCTCCTCGCTGTTTCCTGCCTCTGGAGCTGCAGTGATGCTCCTGCCAAAAACAGCATGTTGGGAGCATCTTTCCCAGTGGCCGTGTGACTGTCACACTGACCCCCACGTGCCTGGAGAAAGGGCTGGAAACCAGGGAGCTGCCAAAAAAGCTCTTTGGAGGAGGATTATTAACAGCCATGTCAGTGAGCAGAGCCTGCTGCTGGAATTCCAGGAGGAGCTGGAAAAGGGATGTGAGGAGCATGGGAGCATCAGGGCAGAGCCAGGGATGGGTGGTGAGGATCCCATCCTGCCCTCCATGCTTTTCCTGGAGGAATGCTGTGTTCCTGTGGGGTTTTCAGGGTCTGGAGGCTCAGGAGAGCTCTCTGCAGAGGGAGATGCAGCAGCCACAGCACACGCTGTGTTTCCCAGTAGCTTGGTGCTGGAGCCAGCTCCTGCTGCTGGAGAGCTGCCCCAGGCCTGGCCCTGGCACGGGAATCAGTGGGAGCTTTGCCACGGCCTCCAGGAGCTGCTGCTTTGGGCCCTAAAGGATCTGCTGGGAATTGCTGGGCCTGGGAGAGACTGTGCAGCATCTCAGCTCTGCTCCTGCCACCCAAAGACACCCAAAGAGACACCCAAAGGAGCTGTTCCCACCAGTGCTGAGCCCTTGGGCTGCCAAACAGCCCAGAGCAGGTGTGTACATGTGTGTGCACACCTGTGTTGGCACATGGCATGGGTACAGCAACATCTCCATGCAGCAAATTCTGCTGTGGGAGCCTCAGAGCTGCCAGGGATCACCAGCTGTAGGATGGATCCAGCCAGCTTGGATGGGCTTCCTGAAGGGATGAACCTCCTGCTTTTTTTTTCTTTTTTTGGCAGGGAACAGCACCCTGAGCACAGAGCAGGACAATCCCCAGTGAACACTTCCACATATCTCCCAGGGCCCTCAAAGGACCTCTGGGAAAGCCCTGGGACATAAAGCCCTTTTGTCACTGAGCTTTTCTTCCCACATCTTCCCGTGGCAGAGGAGGTGCTAGAAGTGCCAAAACCCTCCCTGGGGAGCCAGTTGGGCCCTTTTGCTCTGCAAACCAGCCTGAGATGCTGTCACTGGCTTCCCGTGGGCTTTAGCCAGGGCTGAATTGGCTCATTCTCCCTGCAGCCAGCAAAGGAAGTGGGTTTGGATGGCACAGTGGGTCTTGCTCTGGGGGGGCTTCCCTGCTGGCACGGTGGGATCAGGCTGGTACTCCAGGGCTCACCCCAGTCCTGCTGTCAGCCAGAGCATCCTCCTTGCCCTCAGATCCAAGCTCTGCTTCCCACACATCGCTGGGCAGGTCCTGGCACAAGAGGCTGCGTCGCGCCCGCCGGGCTGGGCAGAGGGGAAGGAGGGGAGAAACAATAGCTCATTCTTTGGGTTTCCTGGTGCCACAAAGGTCTGTTTGCAGGCCAGGAGGTTGTGGTGAGCCCCAGCCAGCCCTGCCTGGCTGTGGGATGTGGGGCTGGGACACCCTTGGGTGGGATTTGGGGGTGCTGAGGGCTCCGAGCGCTGTCCCCGCAGCAAACACGCCCTGGGCAGCCACGAGTACATCCAGCACTGCAGGAAGTTTGACATCGACATCCGACTGCAGCTGATGAGGAGGAAGGGAGTGCGCAGCGACCTGGCTCGAACGGTGGGTGCCAGGCTGGGGGGGCAGCCTGGGGGGTGCCAGTGCCACCTCCCTGTGCCAGGAGCATCCACACTCAGCATCTCTCTCCATCTCCAGGCGAGTGATGACCAGAGCCCTTCCACCCTCAACCACTACATCCACCTGCAGGAGAGACCCATCAAGCAAACCATCAGCAGGTAGGGGGGACAGGGCAGGATTGCCCCCCACACCAGTGCCAGGTGCCCACCTGGCTGGGGCTGAGCTCTGCTCCCTGTCCCCCAGGCAGGCCCTGAGTCTCCTCTTTGACACCTTCCACAACGAGGTGGATGCTTTCCTGGCAGCTGAGGTGAGCAGGAGGAGGATTTGGGGGTCCCTTTGCATCATTTGCTGTGGGTTCTTTGCCATTTTCCTGATGGGGCTCTGAGGGTGTGTCAGACAAAGGGAAAGGCTGTGAATCAGAGAGTTCTCACAGAATCACAGAATCTCCTGAGCTGGAAGGAACCCACAAAGCTCATCAAAGTCCAACTCCTGTCCCTGCACAGGACACCCCAACGATCACACCCTGTGCCTGAGAGTGTTGGCCAAACACTCCTGGAGCTCTGTCAGGCTCTGAGCACTGCCCTGGGGAACTGTTCAGTGCCCAAACACCTCTGGAGGAAAAACCTTCTCCTGATATCCAACCTAACCCTGTCCCAGTGCCCAAACACCTCTGGGGGAAGAACCTTCTCCTGATATCCAACCTAACCCTGTCCCAGTGCCCAAACACCTCTGGGGGAAGAACCTTCTCCTGATATCCAACCTAACCCTGTCCCAGTGCCCAAACACCTCTGGGGGAAGAACCTTGTCCTGATATCCAACCTAACCCTGTCCCAGTGCCCAAACACCTCTGGGGGAAGAACCTTGTCCTGATATCCAACCTAACCCTGTCCCAGTGCCCAAACACCTCTGGGGGAAGAACCTTTTTCCTAACACCTGGCCTAAACCTCCCCTAGCAGGAGAAAACAGTGAAAACTGAGGCACAGGCACTCAGTGCATGGTGAGTAGCCCCTGCCTCCTGGTCTGCCCATGTCAGCCCCTCTCTGCCCTGCAGGGAGACTTCTCACTGAAGGCAGAACGTGTGATCCAGTCAGTCATGGCCATCTGCAATGCTCTGGCAGCTGTGGAATCACAGGAGATCACTGCAGCCCTGAACCAGATGCCTCCCTGCCCATCCCGCATGCAGCCCAAGATCCAGAAGGTGAGTGAGGGGCAGGAGCAGGGTGGGCTCAGCCAGGAGCTGCAGAGGGGGAAGCACATTGTCACATCTGGCTCCTTTCCCTCCTTCCTCCTGCTGCACCACGTGGAAAATTCCTGAGTAGCTGGGAGCAGCAGCTGCCTGGCTCTGGCAGCAGAGGGTGGTTACGTAAAGGCAGCCCTGGCGAGCTGCTCCCCCCCGGCAGTGCTCAGGGTGCTCTTGTGGTTTCTTTTTCTTTCCTCAACAGGATCCAAATGTTCTGGCCAAGAGGGAAAATCGAGGTATTTCTGTTCTCCTTCTCCCCTTCTGGGCTCAAGTTCGTGGTGCTTTTAATCTTCAAACCCTTCCCCCTGCAATTATTAAGGCCAAAATAATGTGTTTGAAACTGTTCTGGTTTGAAAAAAAAAAAAAAAGAGAGAGTTTCTGGGGGTTGTTGCTCCCTGTGAACTTGGGAAAATGGGAAGCCTGGAGTTCTCCCTCTCATTGCTTTGTACCAGGGGAGACCTGTCTGTGGTCCAGCCCTGGGCTCCCTCCAGTCATAGAATTATCAAGGTTGGAGGAGATCTTTGAGTCTAACCATTAACCTGTCACTGCTGTAACCCCTAAAATCCAAACCATATCCTCCAGGGCCATGTCCAGACACCTCTTCAACACCTCCAGGGATGGTGACTCCACCACCTTAGAATCATCCAGGTTGGAAGAGACCTCTAAGATCATTGAGTCCAACCATTAACCTGTCACTGCTGTAATCCCTAAAACCTAAACCATATCTCCAGCACCAGATCCAGACACCTCTTAACCACCTCCAGGGATGGTGACTCCACCACCTGCCTGGGGAATATTCCTGACCAAACCAACCCCAGCCCTGAGGGATGCTGTGGGGGCAGAGGGTCCCTGGGGGACAGCAGGGCTGGCAGCTCCTCATGTCACCTCTCTTCCTCTTCCCTCCAGAGCGGATTGTGGAGAGTCTGACTGCTGCCATCCTCAACCTGGTGGAGCTCTACTGCAGCACCTTCAATGCTGATTTCCAGACAGCTGTTCCCGGGGGTCGGGAGCTGGGGGTGGCACAGGAGGCTCGGCTGCTCTCCTGCCCCCTCTCCTTCACTGTCTATGCCACCCACCGCATCCCCATCACCTGGGCCACCAGGTAAGGGTGCTCACTGTGCCTCACACCTGTGTCTGACACACCTGAGCAGGCTCTGCCTCCCCTGGGGGGATGAGGAGCGTGTTGCTATCCCAGATATTCATTGGCGTGGAGGGGAAAAAGGGTTTACCCATACCAAACCTCCTGGATTGGGATTACAGGGCTATATGGATTCTATAATTGTACAACCATCAGGGTTGGAAGAGATCTTTGAGATCAAGTCAAACTGTTGGCCTGTCACTGCTGCAACCCCTAAACCAGATCCTCCAGTGCCAGGTCCAGACACCTCTCAAACACTGCCAGGGATGGTGACTCCACCACCTCCCTGGGCAATATCCCAGTGCCCTGAAATCACAGAATTATAGAATATCCTGAATTGAAAGGGGCACACAAAGATCATCCAAACCCCTGGCCATGCACAGGACACCCCAACGATCCCACCATGTACCTGGGGATTCTGGGAGGTCAGGGATGCTCTCCTGAGTTTGTGCTGCATCCCAGTGCTGCAGCATCTCTCTGGTCTCCCCACCACCCTGGGGATGTGACAGATATCCCCATGCAATGGTCCTGAGCCCCAGAGGAGCAACATAATCCTTACACAGGACACCCCAACGATCCCAGCATGTGCCTGGGGATGCTGATGCTGCCATGGGGTGAGGGATGCTCTCCACA